GTTGGGCGCCCGCAAACAGTTGGGAGTGCTGCTACTGTACCAGCCTCCCTGCTGCGTGGCAACCTCCCTGCCTGGGCTGCTGGAGGGCGTCTCAGGGCTGGTGATGGAGTTCCCTAGGCTTATGGTTCTGGGGGACTTCAACTTGCTGTCCCTGGGACAGACCTCAGAGGTGGCTCAGGAGTTCATGGAAGCCATGGGCCTGTCGCAAATTATGCAGGACCCAACCCAAGACAGTGGCCACATGCTGGATTTGGCTTTCTTGTCGGAGCAATGGCAAAGTGATCTGAGGGGAGATTTACAGCTTTCCCCATTGTCATGGTCAGATCATGTCCTGGTGACCCTGAGTTTCTCCTATGCCACCCCCCTCAGCAGGGAGGCAGGACCCATGTGATTGATCTGCCCCCGGCGCCTGATGGACCTGCCAGTGTTTCAGACGGAGATGGGGGGGTATTCCTGTGGATCTGCTGCACAGTCCAGTGGAGGCCTTGGCTGCTGCTTGGAATAGGGAGGCAGCCGGGGCCTTGGACAGGATCGTGCCTATGCGACATCAGCCACATCAGCCTTGCCACATCAGCCCCGACACTCTTGCCACATCTTGCCACATCAGCCCCGACACTCCCTGTGGTTTATGGAGGAATTGAGGGTGCTGAAGAGGGTCACGAGACGTCTAAAGTGCCACTGGAGGAAGACAAAGACCGAATCCAACTGAACACAGGTTAGAGATGCTATCAAGGCCTACATTCTGGCAATAAGAGCGGCGAAGCTCCAATACTTCTCTGCCCTTATTGCATCCTCAGAGTGCTGCCCAGAGGCCCTGTTTGGGATCACTAGATCCCTCCTTGGTAAGGGGGATCTGGGGATTCATTTGCAGGGCTGCGTGGAGGAATCTTCAGAGCATCTGCAGGATAAAATTGCTCGGCTTTGTTCCAAGTTAGACTCCGAGCGTGGCGCAGGGTCTGGGGAGATACCAGGGTATTGTTCTTGCCCAGTTATCTGGGAATGGTTTGATCCTGTTGTTCCTGAGGAAGTGGACAGGATCCTCCGGACTGTGAAGGCCACCACTTGTCATCTGGACCCATGGCCCTCCTGGTTGGTGAAAGCAGCTCGGGAGGTGACATGAGGTTGTATCCAGGGGATGGTTACTACATCCTTACCGAAGGGAGTGTTTCCAGCTGCCTTTGAAGAGGCATTGTTGCACCCCTTCCTCAAGAAACCCTCCCTGGATCCTACCATACTTGACAATTTCTGTCCAGTCTCCTGCCTCCCCTTTTTGGGGAAGGTGGTTGA